CGAAGAGCTCGACTTAGGCTCTGCTAGGGCATGGCATTGGCTTTCATTGTTGACATTTTGAAGCTCCCAAACACTTAAGGTAAATTTATGGTACCTTCTTTTTCCTTTCTCTCCCTCATTTATGATGATTTACGGTAGGGTTTGACTTGGGTGATAGATTTTCAGTCTATAGGAGTATGGGTCCGATTCCATTGGTTAAAATGAGTATAATGGGAGTTGTTTAATATATTAGAATACCACATTGATGATTTTGGAAGCGCTTAGTCCATGAAAGCATTTATTATCCGAAAATTATCATCAATATAGTGGTTGCGAGAAGTTTATGTATATTAATGATGGTTTGAGGTGTTGTTAATGATAATGTACATTAATGAGCCCATTAGATATGAATGGGTAGTGATTATGAGTTGATAAAAATAGAATGTGTGGAGTTATATGTTGATAAAGCTTCAAGAGTTAGACAACGATGAAATTCTTATGGTATAGATGTAGAGAGGTTCATTTTCGGCACCATTCGAGCTTGTTGAAGTTTTGGGAAGTTGGTATAATGAGGGATAAACCTTTGACCTCTCAAAAGTTTGAGGTAACCAGGGGAAACTTAACTTTTATAGTTGAATATTAATTGTTTGTGAAATATGATTAGTAATTTAAATGTATGATGCATGCTGGCAATATTTGGCTTATGAAATGATTTTTGGAAAGAAAAGGTTGACTATGCCACTTACTTGTGATTTAAAAGTTTACTAGTGGCATGTTGTTACAAGAAGTGGAGATTTGTGATCTATATATATATATATATATATATAATATGTTGAATGTGTGAAGTGATTTAAAATGAGTATGTGAGATTGGTTGCCGTAAATTTATTGTTGAAATGCATATTATGTGATAAATGTGCATAGCATGATTATTGGCATGAGTTTGCTTAGGGAGAGGAGTAGATTGATTAAAATCTATATAGTATTAGTAATGACCTTTGGAATTGGGAACTAACCTTGGCACCGACCGTTGGAATCGGGAGGTAGTCCTTATCCTATAGTTGATTCAAAACAATCTTACTTGTTCTATGAGGGACTCAAACCTAACTAGTCTCCACCAATTCATGAGGAGGCTAGATTAAGGGTACGACACCCCATGGTCGTTAGTATTAGGGAAAACTGAATTACATAAGTGAGTGAGTTCACCCTGGCCCGGTAGCTCCTCACAAGTAGAATGATGGGTTAGTCTGTGAAGGACGTAGCCATATGATAGCCACCGGTTTCGTGTCGGAGGTAACGGGAGGATATAAGGTTGCATATGGCCATGCATATAAGTTTGGCCACATAGTTATTAGTTTTGTGGTCCGGCATGTGTTGAGAGTGCATGATTGTTATTTTTGCAACCCTATGATGTTTTTGCTAAATAACATGATGAAGTGGTTTGTGGCAAGCTCGATCACATGATTGTTAGTTTTGTGAACTGCGGCCGAGTGTTATGTGCTAATTGTACTTATTTGTCTAATTGCATCTATTTACAATTGATATGCAACTATATGGGTTAAGTGAAACTTACTTACTGAGTGGTTGTACTCACCCCTCAATTTTCAATATTTTCAGGACTTAGCTCATCGGATCCAAGTCAAGAAAAACATACAGAGGCTTAGGATTTGTGGAGTAATCTTTTATATGCCTTTTTTTATTACTTTCATGTGTATTTGTTAATGTAATTGCCAACTAGGATTATTCGACATGATTTATGTACTACTTGCATGATTTTGTGTATAACTAGATTATTTTGTGTCCTGGGTTAGTGAGTTTTGGTTGTGAACCTATGGATAGGCCAAAATACTTGTGCAAGTAGAAACATATGTATTTTGAGATTTAGAATGAAATTGTTGATTTTGTGCAATATTTCCTCCCCCTCTATGTTTTGTGAAAATTGAGGTTGAGTAGTGATTTTATAAGATAAGTGTTTTTGATTGTGTGTGGTGCATTGCACAAGTCCATAAGGGTCCCTTGAGTGTGGTCGGATGGTTAGTATAAGTTATTGGCACGTGTGGTTGAATTGGGACACCCTATTTATGAGATTTTGTGAAAAAATGGTCAAAATGGGTTTTGGTGTCCAACATTTTATAGAAAATGAGTTTGAGCGTGAGAAAGCTCCATGTAGATACCAAAACCACCTTAATCAGACGTTGGACGGAGATTTGAGACCTGTCGAAAGTCTGCTCCTTGTGCTGTCAAATGACAGCACTGATGCTGTTAAATTTCGTGCAATGCGCCATGGCACACGGCACCTCACGCTGTGACACATGGCACAGAGAAGACACGCCACGACGCACATGCTGTAAGCTACGACACGTGTAACACTCTCTGCACAAAATCTATTTTTGAGTTTTAAAACTCATTATTTTGGGTCCTAATTGATTTTCAAGCTTCCGCTTTACTTTCAAAACTCTAATTTGGACTTATTAAATCATGTTTGAGATTTGAGTTGTTGAGATTGGGATTCTTTTGAAAGAATTTTTAAAAATTCCTTTTATAGAACTACAATTTGGTAATCCTTTGAGGGTTAAACCCTGGATTATCATGATTCAGAGTCAAATGTTGTTTAACCTCGAGGAGATTACAATGTGCATGCTACTAACAGTGCCATTTTTCTCAATAAGTTGAAATGGTAAATTATAGTGGAAATTACTGTGAGAACAATCAAGCTAATCCTTTCTTAAATACTTACAATGTTGGGTAGTGCCAAAATCCTAATTTCTCTTGGAAAAATGGTTCATTACTCAATCAAGCATCAACTTCTAGTATAAAGCCAATTCAACCTCAAGGATTCTTTCAATTTAAAAGGCAATCTATGTCTATCCAAGAGCCTAAAGTTGATTTAAAGGATATATTAGCCAAATTAATGATTGCACAGTAAAGAATAATTAAGAGCAAGCCAACATTAATGCAAGGGTTGACTTATTTCTCAAGAATACAGAAACACAAATTAGCCAGTTAGCTACCACTATAAATGCATTGAGATAAGGTGGCTTATCAAGTGACACAATTCAAAACCCAAGATAAGAAGGCAAGAGACGTATAGAAAAAATGCAAAGTTATCATGATAAAAATGAAAAAGAACTAATGGATACTCCATCAAAACCTCAAGCTGTTAAAAAGAAAAGAGAAAGTGAAATGATAGGTATTGAAAATGAAGGGCAAATTCAAGGGTTATCTTATGATGTTAAGAGTATGAAGAGACTGCTCGAAGGAAGAATGACAACAAAGAGGAAGTTCATATAGGAGTTGGGAAGAGGAAGAAAGAGAGTGCATAAGAAATAGAGAAAAAAAGTAAAATCAAAGCCATTGCTTGTTCCTTCTTTACCTTTCCTTTAAAGATTTTTTAAGAAGAAATTTGATGAAGAAAATGCTAAGTCTTTAGAAGAGTTGAAGTAGTTGCATATCAATATCCCTTTTGTGGAGATGCTTGATGATATGCCAAGCTATGCAAACTTCATGAAGGTGGTATTATCCAAGAAGAAAAGATTTCATGAATTGAAACTGTAGCACCTATTGAAAAGTGCTCTATTGTGACGCAATAAAAGATTCTATTAAAGCCTCCTGATCCAAGACAATTTGTTGTTCCTTATAATGTTGGAGATATTTTTATTGGTAATACTCTTTGTGACCTAGGAGCAAGTGTGAATTTGATGCCATCATCTATGTGCAAGTGACTAGGCCTTAGGATTGTCAAACCTACTACTGTTGTTTTACAATCAATCTTTCCAAGAACCAGTAGGGCTTCTTGAAGATGTTTTTGTAAAAATAGACAAATTAATCATTCCAGTAGACTTTGATTTTGAGGAGGATAAGGAAGCACCAATCATCTTTTGCTGTCTTGCTTTAACTACAGCAAGAACTACTGTTGAAGTTTTTAATGGAGAAATCACTAGGAGAGTTATGAGAGAGGATGTCAAATTCATGGTGCTAAAAGACTTAAAGGAAAGAATTCACAAGCGAGTAAAGAAGAAAAATATACAAGAAAATGAAAGATTTTGTCATGGAAGGCTTTCCAGCACTTTAGTGCATAATGGGAGAGAATGGAATCTACTTTGATGGTTTTGAAAAGTTTGACTGAAGACTATTAACCTAGCACTACTTGATAGGCAACCCAGGATTTGTTTGCAAATTCTTTTAAATTTTATGTGTCTGGTTGTGTTTTGTTTGATCTTTCTTTGTTTTGTTTGTTTTGTAAGATGCAGAGTTCATGGTGGTGCTAGGTTCTTTGAGCAAGTCAAGTTAAAGCAAAGCACAAGTAGAGCATGTGAAGATTCAAAGAGTTCTTTAAACTCAAAATTTTCAATATATTTTTTTCATGACGTGGTTCTTGTGGTTGAATGATTATGGATTGTTTCTGTTTGAAGAGGTTTGATGTATTTTAGGATAGTGGATTTGGGTTTAGTTTGTTGATATTTGGGTTATTAATGGCTTTTCGGATAGAATTTTGCTAGCCGTGAATTTTTGTGTGCGGATGTTGTGACATTTTATTTTGTGTACCAATAGGTGTTGTGACATATAGCATCAGAGGTGCCAACGTTAGATCCTGAGAGCACTAGTGTCACAGCACTGCTGCACTATGTTGTGGGAATGACGATCCTTGGCTCATTTTGGTCCCTGTTAACACCAAAGGGCATAAGTGCTGCGACAGTGCTACAATGTGTTGTGGGAGTTTCACGACATCACTGGCCTCGAGAAAGTATATGGAGCCACTGTTGCAATAAAAAAATAAAATATTATTAATTCAAATTTTATATTTAGAAGTAAAAAACATTGACAACAAAAATAAATAAACAAAAAAATTTCAGTCTCAGTTCTTTTTCTCTATCTGACATTTAAAAAAAAAAAAACAACAACACTATTTCTTTTAATTGATTTTAGTTTATTTTAAATAAATTCAATTTAAAAAAAAAATTGTGCTATAATTTCCCCCTACCCCTCTATCAAACCCTAGTCTGTTTTTCACTTCCCCTTTTCACCTCCACATTTCTTCACCCATCACCTCCGCCGAATGTCATTAACCCTCCATTCTCTACCTCATCTATGTCGTGCACGGCCGTCAGCGCATTGCCTTCATTCCCTCTGTAATTTGCCTAACCTCTACCAAGCACCCTCACCAACCATCGTCCCTTCTTCCACCTCCACATTGCAAGTCCCTTCTTCCCTCACCAACCACTGTCTAGTGTCAAGTTTTCGGTCTCCTTTAAGTTGCGCTTCCACCCCATCACATCTTCCTCTTCCAAGTCAGGCTCCGTTCTTCCAACACAAGACACCCGCCTTTGGTCTTTTTCCGCCCTCATTTTCTTCCACCATGTTACCTATGCATCGGTTTGCCACACCGTCGACCACTCTTCTGGTCTCCATCGCTCCTTTCCACCTCTGCTTTCGCCTTCACTACACTCGGCTTCTGCTCGAGTCGCAGAGAGATCACCCTTTTAGTTGATTAGCTTCTTTCCCCTTCAACGACTACACTTTTCCTTACTGTCACAAGTAAGTTTCCATGTTTTCTTCGTTTTTTTTTTTTTTTGCTCGTGCTCTGCCTCCCGTTCATTGTGATGCTCAGCTGTGACTTTGGTGTTGCCTAATGTTCATATAGCTAAGTCCTATTTCCATTTTTTTATTTTAATTTCTAGTTATTTTGTTTCAGTTGTTGCTAGATTTAGTTTTCGGTGGGAGCGAAATTTCATACGTGTTTTGTTTTCTCTGTTATGTTCTTTGGTTGTTTTTGGCTTCAGAATGCTTCATCCTCTTCATGCATTTTCTTTAGTCAGTTGCCACTAGTTTGTATGCATTTTTGGCTGTTTTGAGGTTCTCTGACTACTGAAAAATATTACTTGGTTATCCTAAGATTTGATCTCTGTTATGTATTGTTCTCATTTGTTGGAATCCCTTGGTGATTGCTGACTGAGCTCTCTATTCTGGGCGAACTTCTGTTGAATTTAGAGTATCTCTGCTATTGAATGATTGTGAGTTTATAGCTGGTTTCTGACCATTGCCCGAATGTGTATCATATATTTGGTTTTGGATTGCATTGCTCACTATTCTGCTGATTTATTCTTTTTGTGGGGTATCGATACATGTGAATTTCGTATACTCTGTTTTCTTGCTCTGTGCTTTAAATGTCTACTGAAAGACATGCTTGCTTGCTCTTTTATGCTCCTTTTTGGTGGTTGAGTGCATTTTGATAAGCTGAATATCTTTTGAATTGTTCTACTCCTCTTATCATGGGTATAGCTCGAAAGGGTGATGGAAAACATACAAGAACAGGGGGAGCAACTGACATAACTGCTTGCTCAACAGAAACAAACTGTGGATGCTCCCCATTATCTTCTAGTTCAAGTGGCGCAATGTCTTCTCCTTCTCAAGCTAGGTTTGTCGTGGGCTCTCTCTTTATTTGTCTATCAACCTAAGGAGTACTAGAGTCTCTTCCTTTCTTTATGTTATTTTGTTTTACACATTAAGTAGAAAGTGTAGCTTAAGTGCAGGGAGGGAGTGAATACGTACACTTTTATTATATTGTTTTTCTTTGAGTTTTATTTTATTTTATTTTATTTGGTAGAAGTTATTGTGTATATTTGTAAATAGTCTAAAAAAATTTTAAAAAAAGTTTTTGAAAGTTTCTAAATCTCAAAAATTCACGATTTCTGGGACCCTTGGTGGGAGCACCCTTAAAGACCAGCTTTACCAACGATGAGGTTAACTACACTAGTGCCAGTAAAGGCCATAGAAGTATCGAAATCATCAAGGGTGAAGGCCATGGAACTGCAGTGGACTAGTGAACGTTGGGGACATTCTTGTACAAGCTTTTGTTCAGAAGAACGCTGTCCTAGGGGTTAGCGAACAGAGTGACTCTGTTCAATATGGTGGGGCAACCGTTAAGGTTTCAATAACCACTGACAGTTAGCTTTGTCGTTGCATCTTACTTTGTTGGCATGGTGGAAGCTCATCATTCAGTGCTGTATATAAATATGGTAGAAGCTCATCATTCATGGCAGAAACTCATTAGTCATGGCAGTATATGAAGGAGAGAAAGGAAACTCATTAGTCATGGCAGTATATGAAGGAGAGAAAGAAGAAAGGGGGAGAGGGAGAGGGAGAGAGAGAGAAAGAGAGGAGCGAGAGGGGAAGAAAATGGAGGAGTGGGAGATGAACTTTTTACATTATAAAAAATATTAAAAACGGGGCAATTAGAGTGCTGGTATTTTTAAACCCGAAAAAATTTAAGCTGAATTACTAGTTTAGAATGTAAAATGATAAATTGGATTTAAAAGAGTTAGCCTTTTCACCCTTAAAATAAAAGGGTTGGTCTTTTTAATTTTTTTAAATTTTAATATTAAAAATTAAATATTACACTAATTATAAAACCCTAGTGTCATTTCATGAGGATGAAGAAAGAATATATAAAAAGTTTAATATCTTTTTCACTAATGAGGCTCCACAAGGAGAAGAATTAAATTATACTGATGCTGATGATAATAAAAATTATCAAGATTTAGCAGATGATATTAGTAAAGTTTGATTATTATTGGTGTTGATTTTATGATGTTTTTATTAGATTTAAATTTGTTACCGTATGTATTGATTTAAATTTATTTTTTTAGACTTAATGTTATATGTAATAACTTTCTTAAAATTTTAAATATGTTTTTTAATATTTTTAAATTGAAAAATTGAAAAAAATAATAATTAGGGCCCTTCAACCTAAGGCCGAAATGATTAAAATAAAGCCCTGAGATATAATTGAGCTTAATAGGGCTAGCCCATTTAGGTCTTAGCCTTTGATAGGCCAATTTTAATTGACAGCTCTAGGGGCAATAAGGATTGAATTTTTAATGTTGAAGGATTTGAAGAGTAAAAATAACTTTTAACCCTGTGTCTTTACTTTGCTTTTGATTATGAACGTTCAATGATCTTTTTTATTCTTCTTCTAGGTAAAAAGGTTAATACACTAACCAAATCTTTAGAATTTATTCCGGCCCTATCTTGCTTCTACTGTAGAAATGGCTTATGCAGCAATAATCTTTGTATTCTATGCACTTTCATAATTTATTTTATTTTCTTTTCGTTATATAAGATAAATTATATTGATAGAATAATAAATCCTACAAGGGACTGATTTAAATAATCTATTTTGTTCAAATTTTAATTTATATATAGATTTATCAAGTTATTAAAATTGAACTAACTAATAAAGTAATTTACATATTCATTCATAGTTTAATAGTTGAATCGTAATTAAATTATTAAATTGACTATTCAAACTTCAAATGCTAGATTGCTCATTTATTTACATTTGGCTTCCCGTTTGTTTATCGCACATAAATATCTCATTCTCTTGTTGAAAAAATGATTTTTAAAATTTTTGTTACTTAAAATAATGTATGATTTTGAAAAATGATTCTTAAAAAAAATTGTTTCTGAAAAATATCTCAAACTCTCGCTGCCACGTTTCTTAAGAATGATTGCCCTCTCAAAGGCCACCTCCATGTCTCCTCCATTTCCCTAAAACAACACCATTTTAATTATTAAAAAAATACAAAAAAAATGAAAAACAACTAAAAAAAAGTACCATCACCCAATCTAACCCAGCTTCTCTCCTCCCACCATCACCCGCAATCCAAATTAAATATTTTTATTTTTTATTTTATATTTATTAAAATAAAAATATAATTTTTTATTAAATCTGATAAAATATTTAAACAGTTTAGATTTAATATTAAATTTTTTATAATTTTAATATTAAACATGCAATGTCTAAATTATATCTCGACAATTAATTTATAAAAATTTAAAAAAATTATAGAATTTAATCACCAATTTGGACAATCTGATTTAATATTGATGGTTCAAATTTAATATTTAAATTTTTTATAATTTTAATATTGAATCAACACAGTCTAAAGTATATTTGAATAGTTAATTTATAAAAATTATTAAAAAAAGTAATATGAAATTGGACCATCCATATTAAATTTGAATTGCCAAAATTGATAATGAAACATATTATTCCTTTTTTTTATAATTTTATTAAATATTTTAACAGTGTGCAGGAAATGGTTTGAGGAGAGAAGTCGAGTCTGACTTGGTGAGGGTGCTTTGTTGCTTTCATTTTTTTTTTTAATTTTTTTATAGTCAAGATAGTGTTGTTTTAAGGAAATGGAGGAGAAATGAAGAGGTGGGAAGTGGAAACACCCTAAATCCGCTCTGTGAAAATATCTCATCCTGCTCAGTGCTCTCTTGCTTCTTTAAACCATCATCTTCTTGAGTTATAACTTGGGCTTTGTTTCTCCTTCTACAATGTCCTATTCTCGACAATATAATGTACTGATCATGCCTTTTGACATTAATGGTTTTGACGAAGCATTTTCCAAAATGCTTCGAACCACCATGTGAGTACATGGTAGTGTGCTATTGTGAAGGAGATTTGGGACTTTTGGCAAAATTATTTAAATGGCTTGATGTATGATTCCTGCTGTCACTATTGTAAGATACCTTATTCAAGGATTCTTTAGTATATAAGACATATGGAGGGTCATTTATTACTATTTTTTAATTTTACCCTTATTATAATAAGGACGAATGGAGTATTATTTATCTACCTTCATATCACTTTTCTTAATGACTAGTTATATATGATATATGCAAGTAATGAATTCTAAATAAAAATATATAATTAACATTAATGCTTAATGAAAAAACTAACGACCAGTTATATAGGACATAAGTGGACATTTTATGAGATTTAAGGTGATGACCTTAATTGCCTAGTGTCACACATGGCCCTATATGATTAATTAAACACTTGACCTCTAAGTTTGTAAGTAGCCACTAGGAGATCCATCATGCAAAGCCACTTGCAAAGCATTGATTCAAGAGCCCAAGAACATGTGGCTTGGAATACTATTATGATAAATTCAATATGTAGTATGTAATTTATTTATAATTTTTTATAGTTAGTTACAAACTTATAGTCACCACTAGTGTTGAGATGAATAGATCTATATTGTCGAACTAATACCATGGGACATCTGATGCAGCATATTATAGGGTAATCCGGTACAGCATTTTATGGGATTATTACCATGAGACATTCGGGCAATCTGGCAACTTCCTAATATCCATTAAGGTGCGGTTAGTAGTCAACAATGCCTCTATCACAAGTGTGTGACATGAGGAAAACCATAATACATAGGTGAGATAAATTACCTTTATCTAGGTGTTTCTACTGTCGAAAGTGTGCTCGAGTCAAAGAATGATTGATTTAGTAGAGCCTATGATTTTATGTCGGGGAGTTTTGGAGGATCGGTGGATAGACAATCATGTTGTTGTCCTAATTGTGTGAAATGATTTATGATAAAAAGAGAAATTTAGTTACTTTAACTATATAAACTATTAAAATAGTTTTTGGTTACTTTCATGCAGTTATTTGTGTTAGTGAACATTTATGAGTTATATTAGTTACTGAAATTTTGATCTCACCCATGGTTATTTATATTTTTCAAGTTCTAGTAGTTGTAGTGCTCAAGGGAAAGATTCAGGCCAAGAATTATGTTTTCTTTGATAAAGCCTTGTAAGAATCGGTGTAATGAATTTGTATATAAATAGTGGTAAATGTGTATATAAGTTGTTTTAGGAAACGTGTGCATTTTATTGTGAGTTTTTATAGTGTTTGGTGCTTTGATTTCCCTACCCTTGTGTATATGATTGTATATGATGAAATGATAGTGTGGGTTAGTGGATGAATGATAATGTCTATGGAAATGATGAATGTGGAATATGTATGTGAAATTGGCCTTGTGTATGAATGAAATTGAAGAAATATGAATTTGCTCAAGTTATGTGTAATGGGCAGTTTATAGACCAATTGTGTGTATGTGTGTTATATTGTGTCTATATTTAGTCAATCAGGTGTACCTTATCTAATTGAACGTAATTAAGGCCCTAAAAGTGGCCAATAACTTATGGTTTCGACAGGTGATGTCAAGTGGCAAATTTTGACTTAAAATGGCCAAAATGCGTTTGGATGTCAAATTTTTAAACAGAATATCAGATTTTAACGAAACCAATGTCATTGGTTAGATTTTGAAATAAGCTTTGTGTGAGTGCTTGAACCACCCCAATTGGATATCGGATGTGAAAATGATGCACTTTTAAAGTTCGTATCAGAATCTGAAATTTGACAGCAAATTCTAATATGTTCGCCTCGACACATGTATCAACAAAGGACCCCATGCCTTGGCGCATGGCACAGAGCGAATACCTGAGATCTCTATGCCACATGCCACAGTGCATGTGGCATGAGCTGCGACACATGGCCCCTGTTTGATTTAATTTGGTTGAATTGTACATATTTTCTAGTTGATTTTGAGATGCTATTGCATAATGCTTCCGTTATGTAGTATTTTACAATTGATATATATTTTATTAAATGGTTTTAGAAATGTTTTTATACTAAGATTCTAAAGTTTTCAAAGTTTATTTTGGTTAGTAGTTATCATGGAGAGTTGTATAATAATGTCAATAAAGACATTACAATGAACATTTTATGATCTTCTTTATTCTTCTTCTAGGTAAAAAGTGTAATACACTAACTAAATTACTAGAATTTATTCTGGCCCTATCTTGCTTCTACTAGGGCTGTGCATGGGCAGGGTTGGGTAAGGCAGCTCATTAACCCGATGCCCTGCCCTAAATGTCTTCGGGCAAAAAAACTATGCCCAAAGCTCGACCCTACCCGAAAGATGCCCGACTTTGGAAGGGCCTGGTGGGCAGGGTCGGGCAGGGATCAGGCACCTTGGGCACGGTCTCCAGCCTTGCCCTACCAAAACAAAGAATCAAAACCATCTATACAAATGTGAAATACACTGTAATAGATTAATTATTTCCATCAATAAATCATTTCAAGCTCTTATTTTAAAAGTAACAGATTGTTAAATATCACTAGTAAAAATATTACAGTGTTGTCAAAAAACTTAATGGCAAAGCAAATATGGAAGGAATTTTTCATGCAAATCACAAGTGCTATCCAGTTTCAAATTCTAAGGAATATAGAAATATTCAACCTAAGGTTTACAAACTTGATCATCAAGGCACCTAAAAAAAAAAAAAGAACTACCATTTATGTCCCCATCTAGTTAACAAATTACATCCTATATTATTATTTTTTTAAAAAAATATATTATATCTCGAGCCGGGCAGGGTCAATTGGTTGGATACCCCAACCCGAAGATTGGGCTTAGCCTGACCATGCCCAAATAATATTGGGTAATTTTTTTAGGGCTCGGGTTGAGCATATTTTGCTCGGGTCGAGCCGGGCATCTCGGGCTTATGGGCATCCTGCACAGGCCTAGCTTCTACTATAGAAGCAGCTTATCCAGCAATAGTCTTCGTGTTCTATGCACTTTCATAATTTATTTTCGTTTCTTTTTGTTATATAAGATAAATTATATTGATAGACTAATAAATCCTACAAGGGACTGATTTAAATAATATATTTTGTTCAAATTTTAATTTATATATAAATTTATCGAGATATTAAAATTGGACTAGCTAATGAAGTAATTCATGTATTAGTTCATAATTCAATGATTGAATCATAATTAAATTATTAAATTGACTATTCAAACCTCAAATGCTAGATTGATAATTTATTTGCATTTGGCTTCTCTTTTACTTGTCTCACATAAATATCTCATTCTCTCGTTGAAAAAATGATTTTTAAAATTTTTGTTGCTTAAAATAATTTATGATTTCAAAAAATGATTTTTAAAAAAATTGTTTCTGAAAAATATCTCAAACCTCTCGCTGCCATGTCTTTTAAGAGTGATTGCTCTCTGAAAATATCTCATCCTAGTCACTTCTTTTAACCATCATCTTCTTGAGTTATAACTTGGGCTTTGCTTCTCCTTCTAAAATGTCCCATTCTCGACAATATAATGTACTGCCATGCCTTTTGACATTAATGGTTTTGACGAAGCATTCTCCAAAAAGCTTCGAACCAACATGTGATTACACGGTAGTGTGCTAGTGTGAAGGAGTTTTGGGACCCAAGGCAAAATTATTTAAAAGGCTTGATGTATTATTCCTGCCGTCGCTGTTATAGGATACCTTATGTAAGGATTCTTTAGTATATATAAGACACATGGGGGGTCATTTATTATTATTTTTCAATTTTACCCTTATTATAATAAGAATGGATGGAGTATTATTTATCTACCTTTATATCACTTTTCTTAATTACTAGATATATATGATATAAGCAAGTAATAAATTCTAAATAAAATATATAATTAACATTAATGCTTAACGGGAAAAATAATGGCAAGTTATATCAGATATAAGTGAGATTTAAGACGGTGAGCTTAATTGCCTAGTGTCACATATTAGAGTATAACAAAAAGTCCCACATCTAAAGATTAGAAGATGAATCATGAATATATAGGCTTAAGCTATTTTGGTAGGATATACTATTTTGGTAGCATATACTATCCTTAAGTATACTTAATATAAAAAATATAACATGGTATCATAAGCCATTTGATTGAGGGACAAAAAAAAAAAAAGAAAAAGAAAAAAGGAAAATAAATGAAAGAAATGAAAGATGAAAAAAAAATACAAGACATTTAAAAAAGAAAAGAAAAGAAAAGAGAGAAGAAGAAAAAGGAGAAAAGAATGAATAAACCCAAGGCCTCTGAGACTAAAAAAATGTACAAGCTCAAGCAAGAAAAAGAAAAAAATGAAAAAAAAACAAAGATAAAAAAAAAGTAGTAGAGATAATATAAGAACATAACAAGAAGTCCCACATCTAAAGATTAAAAAATGAATCATGAATATATAGGCTTAACTTATTTTGGTGGGGTATACCATCCTTAAGTATACTTAATATAAGAAATTTAACATCACACACAGCCTTATATGATTAATTAAACACTAGACCTCTAAGTTTGTAAGCAGCCACTTGGAGATCCATCGTGCAGAGCCACATGCAAAACATTGATTCAGGAGCCCAAGAACATGTGGCTTGGAATACTATTATGATAAATTCAATATATAATATGTAATTTATTTATAATTTGTTATAGTTAGTTACAAACTTACAATCACCACTAGTATTGAGATGAATTAAGGCATATCTCAAGGTATATGGGATTTAGTAACAAAGAGGGAAGGGATCTAGAAGAAGCTTCATGGTTGGCATCATCATCAGTTTGTGGTTCAGCGAGCTTTGCAAGCACAAGAAAAGGATAGAAAGAGATGTATCTCATGAATGGCGAAGTTGAGGAGGAGGGTAAACAAAGGAGAATGTATAGTAACACAATCGTGGCAACTAGCAGTACACTTATTGTCACAAAGGTAATAGTCAACCAGGTAAGTTTGCTCACTACTAGGTACACACCTGCCAAAAATGCCAGTGATAGTGTTGTGAGAGAGATGCCCAGAAGTGGCATTGCATAATTGAGGGCATAAAGTATTAGACAGAGATCTCCTAGTCGAGCCCACATGAGAAGAATTGTCGTGCTGATGGCACAGTATATAGAGATTGTGAGACATAGAATGTACAACTGGAATATGTGGCGATTAAGATTCACAGCAGTCCCATCATCCACATCACCTGGCATGGTAAACCCAGCAGCAAATGACGCTGTTATTATAAGAGTTGAAACCACTATCAAAGTTTCAATTCTGTCTTTATATCGTTCAGGTTCGAATTCCTTTTTCTTCTCTTTAGTTGGTGTGCTTTCAAGAGAGAGTCTTTTCATTGAGTTTTGAGGTCTACCAGCAGATTACAACGCAGTCCATGTAAGTCGCTGCAAATATATATTTGGATTTGTTACAAACAAAACTTGCATTGAATCTCCATTTAAATATCAAATTTTGCATTAATATACTTGCCTGTGCTAAAGATGCATTTTGTCCAAGCCATTGGTCAGCAATGTCTAAAGCTGTTTGGTTCTTTTGGTTCAGCAAAGCAAGATCGATTCTTTTATCCCACGTAAAGGCATGTACAATTTTAGGATTCCAGTAAAGGGTGGCCACGTGCAAAGGAGTATTCCCATTATTATCCTTCTGATTCAACAGCTTCTCGAGCTTAGGATGTTGGAGGATGTATCTTACCACTTCAAATTTTCCATTCTTAACAGCAATGTGAAGAAAAGTTTGGGCATTATTGTCCACCATCTCTGGGGGATCTGGGCACCATTTTAGTAACTCTTGAACTACTTTAACATGGCCTCCCTTACAAGCCAAATGAATTGGGAAGAAGCCATCATTGTCCATTTCCATGGTGCAAGAAACACATTTTTTGATCAAGTAAGAGACACCTTCAAGGTAACCCATTAATGCTGCATCATGAAGAGGATACCTTCCCTTTTCATTCCTCAGATGTATCCAATCTGGTTTCTTGCTTAGTATGGTTTCAAGCATAACTACGTAAGTAATTAAATAAGACACATTAATGGGGACATTTATCAACGTGCATAATGGTAGCAAGATTTCAAAACATAGAATGAAGAAGAAATGAATCATCAAGTCAATGACAGAAGTTGCATATACAGTAGTTACCTATATCCTTGTTGATGATTGCTGGAAGAAGGGGTGATTTTCCTCGAGGTCGCAACTCAAGGTGCATGCACATGTCCATCAATCTAGTAACAACTTGGTTGCAGCCAGCCTCAATGGCAAGGTATAACAATGATTTTCCTTCCCTGTTAACCGCTAATGGTGCTGCAGAATTAACAATCCTCTTGAAATCTGCCTCAAACTCTGAATATTCACCTCCGAAGAAAGGATCTTGAAAAGCTTGGAAAATCATGGCCCCGTTATGGCTGCTGTTCATGAAGGCTTCATGAAGGAAAGTTTTTCCTTGATCATTTTGCAGCAAAGTGAGCGATACCAAGAGCATCTTCACCAAGTCATCTGGTTCAATACGACAATTACATGCTTGCTGCCGAGCGAAAGGGAGAAAAACTTTCAGAACAGATTGAACGGTCGAGGTATGCCCTGACCTAGCGGCAACATGCAATGGCGTATCGAAGTTGTTAGTTTCAGTGAAAAGGGAAGGAGCATGTTGAGCTACTTTCTCTACCATTGTATTATTTCCATATGAAGCTGCTAAGTGTAGAACAGTGTTGCCTCATGGGGTTCGCTGCATATAAATGGCGTTCTGAGGGAGGCCTCTCTCCACCCACTCAGGTACAATGAAGTCCCTGTTACAACTTACAGCATTGGCATTATCCATGGAAAGATATGCAGCTGTCAGCAAATTCAAGTCCTTGGTTGGTTCATGTTCTTGCTTCGTTATCAAGGGGTCTGGATTAGCCCTCCCCGACCGCAAGGTTGTGGTATTATTGTCATTTCTTGTGTCTCTATAAACCACTTGGAATAGAATAATAAGAAATTTTCTCCTTGACCCTTCATCTCCTTGGATTTTTGTGCAGATGTGCCTTACAATTTCAACACTTGTTGTAGACGTTCCACCACTTGGCATTGTGAAGATTCTCTCTCCCCCGTGTGCTTGAACCAAATCATAGTATATAAAATTTTTAGTTGTTTATCACAATTTAGTTTCCCAAATTTAACTTTTTATCAATTTGATCTCTTATATTTTCTTAAATTATCACATAAGTTCTTTAAATTTTAAAATATAAATTAAATTTCAATATTTTTTTTTATATATTAATGACTTGGTATGTATAAATGTAAGCAACACTCAAATTATATTGTGTTTTATCCTGATCTTTTGTTTTGTTTTTTTTTAAGATTTCAAAGCATGCTTTTTCTCATCTAAATAATTATATTTTTTTCATTAATCTACATGACTACCATCATTATTAGAGAATATGAAAGATAATTTAATTTAATATCTCTAACAAGTAATTATTAACAAATTAACAAGTGAAATTATTATTTTAACAGGTATCTAATCTATTCAGATCATTATCAGCTATCAATTTCTTTTAGAGATCTTTCATTGATATTCCTATCTATTATCCTTGAATATTAAATTATGCATGTCAGTAAATTTTAATAATATAACTTTCGTTTTAAACAGTAAGAACCAACATGATAAGCAAAGTAAACTTAAAGAATTAAATTGATATAAAAATAAACATTATTATTATTATTATCATTATTATTTTGGTCTCATGGCAAAGTAAGAATGCGATACCTGTAAAATTTTCATTCTCGTCCACCACTGAAGATCCTCCCATCTCGAACACCACCTGTAGCAGCAGCTTTGATTCTTTTCCCGTTCCCTTCTCGGGTAGGATCCAAGAATTTGAAACGTCTAATCCTCAAAACAAAAGGTAGATTGTAAAGTAATAAACCTATTTTTATTCAAAGTATATCATAAAGTTCATTTTTTTAACTGAAAATATAGCTTGTTTTAAGATTATATTGGATTAAAAACCTTTTCACTAATTTTGTGTTTAGAGTAATTCATTAAAATTACGTGGCTACCAAATCCACAAAGACATTCAATTTTTTTTTTAAAAAAAATCAAATGACATTATATTGTTATCATGTTGCGGCATGTTCAACTTTAGAACATTGCACTTAAATTTATGAAGCATATACAATATTGTAATGCATGCAAACATAAATGAAACTACAAGAGCATTTTTGTTCGATCAAAAGCCTTCTTTTAAGGGAAAATGATAAGGAAGAACCTTATAAGAACATTAATACTAAATTAAAAACTTTTATATTGAAACATAATATATGGAGTATTGAAAATATTAATAACAGTCTTATAAGGTTCTTATTTATTATTCTCCCTTCTTGTAAGGTGGCCTACGATAAGGGCTCTCATAAAGTAAAAGTCCAAAATATAAATATGGGTCCGTTTGATTTTCTTGCTTTTTACATTCAGAAAGTAAAATTTTACTTTCAAAAAACTAGATGTTGCTTGGGTAAAATATTTTGTTAGAAAGTACATCATGAAAATACATTCAAATAGTAGCTGAAAGTGAATTTCTGAAACGTAATTATTTAAAACTTTTAAAAAGTGGATTTGAAAAGTAAAATATTATTTGACCATGCTACTCTAAGTTTAATCTCTTATTCTTTTATTTAAAAAATAATTAGTTCATTAAAAGTATAATTATTATTTCAATAATAATAATTAGGTTATCAAGTTTTTAGCATTCTAAATTGAATAATTAATCATGTTAAAAATTACAAATCTTTATCATATTTTCAAAAACTAAAAATTAAAAAAATAAAAATAACTAGATATCAAATTTTTAGCATTATAAATCAAAATTTATGTTATTTACAACCTTTATCACAATTTTTAAATATTTTAAATATATTATATTTGTATAATAAAAATTATAAATCATCATAAATCAATATTCTTTTTAGTAATTGTACATTCAAAAGCATATTTCACAATCACAAACCAAACAACTTTTAATGTATTAAACTGACCTTTGAAAAAATATATCTAAATACAAATTTTGTTACAACTGATTTTTACTAAATTGACTTTTACCAAATAAACTTTTGACAAATTGAAAACCAAACACACACGTAATAGGTTTCATCTGCATTTTATTTTATTATTATTATTATTATTTATTCTATTCTAAGAAAAAATTCTAAGAAACTATAGTTTATTTCTGTTCTGCTATTTTTTGTTTATAAACTATTCATATTAATTAGATATCAATTCGTTAAAATGAAAATTAATTAGATGCATATCAAATAAACAAGTTATTGCAGAAATTACTGTTCACGAAATAAGGATAAACCTCTTTATCAGTTCAAGAAAGATGGCTTAGTAATCAGATTCTTTCATTCATTATTCTTTATGAAAAAAGAAAAAACGAACTTAATCGTCTTAGTTATATATATTTGGATCATTATTCAACCTAAGATGGAAAAAAAATTGAGGTTGAAAATTAGGATGAAAGAGCAAATTACCTCCTAAATTATAAGTTCAAGAAGTATTTAAGATCTTAAACTCAATATTTGTGCAATGTGTCCCTCCATCTTTTAAAAACAGTACAATCTAACCTCACTTTTAGCAAAAATTAACTTTAATCACTAATTAACTATAAAATGATCTCAAAATTAAAGAAAATGACAAAAAAATTATAGTAAAAGATAAAAGAATTTTTGATAATGACTAAAAAAAAGCTTTTATTGATCTGCTTTTTGTAATTTTGAAATCCTTTTCTATCATTTTTATAATCAACCAATCATTAAAATTAACCTTTTTAAACGGTGAGGGGCAATATTGTACCTTTTTTAAAAGTTGGAGAGACACATTGTACAAATAATAATATTAGAGTTCTAAACCTCCTTAAACTTATAATTTAGAGTTTAATTTACTCTTTTGCACTTGAAAACAATTACGATGGTCTGTTTGTAGGGATTCCATTTGGTGAGGCCGTGAAGTTGAAGATGGTCCTTGCTCGGACTCTGCATCTCCAGACATGGCAGCAATTTTCACCTGCTGGGATTAACTACACAAAAGCATCGATCACAGGCATATAAACAATTAATACATAAAAGTATGCAATAATACAATAATATAACGAAATTTAAGAGGATGAAGATGCATGATCAGTAGAGGATATATTATATATATATAATGATAAAAATGAATTTCACCTTTTTGAAATTTTCTCACGAGAGTGCAGTGCCTGATAATTGAGATGGATATGACCTTCGGTCCATTCTGTCCTCTTATATACACACACATACACGCACTTAACACATGTTGGGAACTGTTTACATTAAAATAGATTATATTATATTTTGATAGACTAATTTTATATAAAATTTTAATTTGATCCTCTAATCTTATCAATTAATTTTTTCAGTCTTTTAATCCTAATATCGTTAATTTTAAATTATTATTTTTTGTGTTAATTATTATTATTTAAAAAAGTTAAAATTAATATATCAACATTTGATAATATTTAAAAATTTAAAGTAAAAATTTTTTGCAATAAAACTAACTATATTAAGATTAAAAGATATTTTATAAAATTAAGGAACTAAAATGAAATCTTTGTAAACTTGAGGGATTAACAATATACTTTGGCCCATTACAATATAATATAGCCTTTCTGATTAATGCATTAAAATTTAAAATTGATAAAAAAAAAAAAAACAGATGAAACATGGAAAGAGACAATGTATATATAAATTGACGATTAGTTACGTCATACTCTAAGAAGTTTTATCCTTTTAAAATGCAATCAAATTAGGTTCTTTATAGTGTTTACTTTTAATTTTACTTTGAATATTTAATTATTAGTGCATTTAATTAAAATTTTAATATTAATTAAAAATTACACACATGTGATTAATGGCTTTCGTATCTAGCAAGTTTTATTAGTTAATATGTGTCACTTCACTTGTATTCTTCTTTATGCTTTGCCTTTATTCTAGTCCTATCAGTGCACTTCTTTATTCTTTGATCGTCTTTTTCTTTTTCTTTTTTCCTGACTCTTTCTGCTCCCTTACCTTCGTGTTTTTCTTGTGAATTTAAACTTAAAACAATAATTAAGAAAAATAAATTATTTGAAAAGTAGTAACCGGCCATTTGGTGCCCGTAGAGATATTATTGTCTTTTGAATCCAACTTGGCTTATATGTCACTTCACTTGTATTCTTCTTTATGCTTTGCTTTTATTCTAGTCCTCTAAGTGTGTTTTTTTCTTTATTCTTAGATAGTTGTTTTTACCTTTTCTGGCCCACTTACCTTCAATTTATGCTTTGTGCTTTCTTGTGTCCTTTCCCCTCTTTTGCAACATTATGGATTTGGTATTATATTCTTTTATATTTTGGGGCAATTCATTCATATTAGTTGCTACTTAAAGCCTGAGACAATATACTCTTATAAGTCATATACTTATAAATTATTTCTATCAACATTATCAATACCAATACAAAAAAATACAACAAATAAAAGTGTGCAGAATTCTAAATAGACCCTTATATAACAAATTCAAAAAATAATGTTGTGTTACTTTTTCTTTCTCATGAAAGGTAATTTTAAAAATACTTTTAAAATATTTTCTAAAAACCTGCACCGTGATTTATAAATGGAACCAAGTAGACCTTCTAAAATGTGACTTATAAATGAGACTGAAGGGAGTATATATATATATATATATATATATATATTAGTTCAAACCATATTACGTCGTTGCTTTTTACAAGAGGGATGGAATTACCTTACTCCCTTCAGTCTTATTTAGAAGTCGTTTATATCAATGTCATCAATATCAATACAATAAAAGTAAATAAAATTTTAAACATAACCTTCAAGTAAAAATCAAAAAGTAAACAAATTATATAATATTATTTTTTCTATCTCTTTCTTTCTTACTTTTCAAGAATAGTTTGTAAATTACAATTTGAAACAAAACAATTCCATCAACTAGTGAATTGTAAAGTGAACTAGATTGTACTTCTAGAATATGTCTAATATGTTCACTACAAAAAAAATAGCTTATTAGCAATAGAAAATTCCATCGCTAAATAGACTAGCGATGGACTATTTCCGTCAATAAAAATTCTGTTGCTAATTTTTGATGAAATAGCGACAGAAATTTTCAGTTGCTAAATAAGAATAAAGTTATTTTGACTTGGTGACAGAATGCATTCCATCGCTAATCCGTCACTAATTTTCCAACGGGCTTATTCCGTCACTAATTCCATTACAAATTTATTAGGTAGACCAAAATATCATTGCCACGTCACCTAGTGGATCAATGCCACCTTACCACTACCTAGTCACTTAGTGGACCTGTAACACTTGCCCCGAGTGTTATCCAAAAATCACACAATTCAAATAAACTAAGTGTGGTTAAGGAGTTAATCCTAAAACCAACTTAGGAAACAAACCATTTAAATCACTAAGCAAATATACGATTGCAAAGTAAACATTTAAAACCTTAAAAAAATTATAGGTTCTAACTATAGCGCACGGAAGCAAGTTAGACGAAAGAGAAATAAAAAGATACTGTCATGACAGCATTTAAATTGCTGTCATGACAACCCTCCCGAGTCAACTTCTGGGAGGCGTCGTTCCGCCATCCGACCTCCGATCAAAGTGATTTTAAAGCTCACACGTCACATTCAAAGGTTACTATAAGTATACCAAATTTCAAAAAGATCCAACGGTGGATTTAAAATTAGACATGTTAAAAATTTAATTATTTTTGCTGTCATGACAGCTAAAAAGCTGTCATGACAGCACTTCCGGACCAACTTCCGGAGTGCACCATTTCATCATCTGACCTCCGATCGGAGTGATTCTAAAGCC